AGTTCCTACATTTCAAATCCTCAAATTGAACTTGTAAATGAATCAAACCAAATTCAGCAATGGGAGAAAGCAATTAATGAAAAGAACATGAACCCTGTCAGCAAATGCCTGTGTACTTTGGAAGAGATCATTCACAAAGATGTGCTTTTAAATACAGAAGAAATTAGAACTAATAAATATGCTGCAGTGAGGGAGAAACGTGTGACTTCCATGCTCAAAAAATGGGGAACCACAAAAATCTAATAAATGAGCTGAGTACCTAATTTGAAAGGTAGACCTACGTGTCTCAAGATTGTCATGGTTATTGTCATATTGCAACAGAATAAATAATTTATGTCAATGCCAATCACTTTTTTGGTGTGTGACCAGTAAAAACTCTGACTACACGTTTATTTTTATAGAGGTGAGCAAGTGACAGTATTGCATTTTTTAAACATTTCCTTAAAAAAACAGAAACTACCAGTACCTCTTTAGCAAATGAACTCTGGCTATCTTGAGGATATGTTTTATCTTATCCTGTACCACTAGTAAGCATGAGCTATGGAATCAGGGTGAATTAGGTTGGATCCCACTTCCCACTGGGCAACTGTAAACAACATTATTACTGTTCATATTATATTCAAGTCTGACTTATGTGTTTATATTCTAGAAAATGCTCAAGTGGAGGCTAGAGAAAGAAGTGAAGGAAAAGAACACTGCATCCTGAATAGTGTAGTCAGGTGAAACAGACCTGCTTCTGTATGGGCCCAAAGGCAGCTCTTAATGTAGCTATCCTAAAATCATCAATGTATCTATAACATGAGATTTCATTTACGTTTGTAACTTGAACTTGTAGATGCCAATGTTGTATTGTGATGTGAAAGGTGTGTCCCACATTTACCTGGGGACAAAATTGCCATTGGAACAGTATTACTTTATAACCAAACAGATGTGGTGACTAATATACAACAGAGACAGGGACTATGAATGCCTTTCTTTTTCCTTGGTCCCTCTAGCTTTTGGTTATTTCATCCAGGCAGACTGTTACAGGCCAATATCAGTGCCCTCTGTCTTTCAGTCCAGTGATTACATCTGGTCATACTCTGCCTGACACTTCCATGGTCTTGCCACAGTAGCTTTTTAAACTGACTGTTTCTGTTGTTCATTTTTGCATGTTATAATGTGGCCATAGCTATAAAATAATCATTAATGGAACTGACCCTTTTGCCCTGATGGGCTTTCTGGGTCAAAACATGCTTACACTATTACTGACAGATGTATATGTATTTGCATTGGTCTAAAACAGAACTACAATCTACCATATAAAAAGAAACTGGTCCAACAGTAAACTATAGTGGTTGGGAGGTTGGAGATTGGGGTATGGGCAAGTTAACTAAAATTTAATTCAGAAGACAATCAATTTAAACAAATAACCAATTTAGAGATACTCTCCAATTTTGGTTTCACTGGGGTCTTGATGCTGCCAAATATTATTCAGACCAGAACTGTTGGCTTTACCATGATCATCATTTTACTTGGCAATGGTTGGGCTATCTGGTAAAGGCATCTCTTACAGATTTATGTTCTCCCTGAGTTTTGCATCTCTACTGGCCCCAACTCTGTACCTTTGTGGTTTTAATTGTTGGTAAATTCATCATCTGTTAATCTCTGAATTGCTGCCAGTGAATTATGGTTTGCGAAACTGATGAAGATTGGAGTGTTTCACGTTTACATTGACTTCTGGGATCTCTTCTCCAGCTTTGTCGCCTAAGTTGCCTCACTTTGCTTCTATAAGGTTCCCCAATGAGGAAATTCCCACTGTGGAGATGGCTCAGAGGGGTAAATGCTTGTTGGGCAAGCATGGGGATTCAGATTCCCGGCATGTATGTAAAAAGCCAGGCACCCTAGTGCGTACTTGTGACTCCAATCCAGAGGAGACAGACAGACAGATAGGCAGTCCATAGGGGCTTGCAAACCAGCCAGGTTAGGCAAAATGGTGAACTCCACATTCAGTATGAAACCCTGTCTCAGACAATAAGATGGAGAGTGATAGTGTAAGACACTCAATATTGACTTCTGGCTCCTGTGAGTGCATGTACAAGCTTGATCACCCTCAAACACTCACCCACAGGCACACATGTGCATACTCACAAAAATTTAGCCTGAGAAATCAACAAAATTGCCCATGCTTTCATAGATTATCCATCTTATAGGAACTGAAATTTGAAAATCTAATTCTAAAACTACTGATCTTTAATGGACTACTGTGTATCTCCTCTCATTTGTATGTTTGTAGTTAAAACTTTGTTTTACTAGTTTGAACTTAAGTTTTACTTTTGCAAGTACTGACTCATTTAATTCTGTGGTGGTTTCTTAAGTTAGAATGGAGTCCATGCATAAAGTGACTATTAAATGCTACTATGGTTTCCTACTGAATCACTTTTAAGGGCTTTTATTGATATGATTATACTTTAGAGTCAAGGAAATATGCATTTATAAAACTGTATCATTCATAAATAATTATGTGCCTGTTGAAGGAAGGCAGGTGGTTTCTGGACATAGATAAAAACCAGAGCAATGAAAAGGTTATCATGGTAATATCATTCTATATTTGTAAAGTCATTACCACTGTCAATTCTAGGACCCTTTTCTCATACATTTATCTAATTTAATCCTTTAAAGATGATAGATAATAAATTATTAGTCTTAGTTTGCCATTGTAAAAGCACTATCTCAGAGAGATTAATGTGATTGAACCAAAGTCACATATTTAGTATATAGTGGAGCTGTGAACAGAGCTTAAATCTTCCCAGTTTTGTAATACCTAAAAGCTATGTTCTAAGTGATAAGAAAAAGATCATTATGTGAGCGACTCTGAGAGGTGTCCCAATATGGATTTTTTCATTACTTTTAGAGAAGAGAATGTTGCCAAACCACGCAGTATTCAAGAAGAGGGATGGATGGTCTTCCCTCAGCTGAGGTCACTTGTATTCTCAAAACTTTCTTTATAAAGTAGAAGACATGCATCAATTGTGCCTCTTATCTTGTCTTCATCCACTCTTCCACCTTGAACAGGATGTGAAGACTGCAGCTCCATCTGGAAAAGCCAGATGTGTCCCAAGTTTTTTAATGGAGTAATATCATACCAGATCTGCCTACTCTTTTCTCAACTCTCCTGTTTATACTACCATTATGTCAGTTGTCTATCATAACCAAATCAAAATCTTTGCTAATATGGCATGCATTAGAAGTCTTATTCCTGAGATGATTGACAGTATGGAAATTTGAAGACTGAAGAAACTAGACAAATAGAATAAAAAAACAGAAGGTTGACTTGACTGCCTTTGAGAAAATCATATGAACTACACTGTTAAGGTCTGGGTGCCTGAGAACTGTCTCAAAAATAAAAAAAATCTAAAATAAATAAAAATAAAAACCAAATGAACGAACAACAACAACAATAAGACCATAAAGGAGGAGGAACCTATTGACTGAATGACAGAGTGAGCAGATTTCCATGCTTAGAGTGTTTATCTTTTGGACCACAGCAACCTTTCCTCACTGGAGTTTTGCATTTTGCCTTTGCTAGGAAATTTGATGCACAGGAAGTGGACAGTATAGTATTCATTGGTTGCTCTTTGATTAGAGAATTATCTATCATACTTAGGAAGGAATTTCACACCATAAGCACTTGAACTGTGTGTACCACCTGAATGACGCTTTTGTTCATTTTAATCTCTAAAGCATTTTTTTAAATTAGTTTAGTTGTGCAACTTTTTTTTTGTCAGAAAATATATACTTGGTTTAGTCCCATAGAGACACATGAAACATATTCTTGTACTCCATTTTGTTCATTCAAAAACCTTGCCACATACAGGATAACTATTCTGTATCTATAAGACTTTATTGTTTGTTCTTATAGACACTTCTGTTTGGTTTATAACCATGAATGTTGTGAAGAGAATTCCTCAACAGTCTACAGTTTCCCCATTATTATTGCCTTAAATGACAACAGTTTGTTGTAATTAATGAAGTAATACATTATTAACTAAAATTTATGTTTTGATCAAATTCTTCTAGTTTTTACCTGTGTCCTTGTTCCAACCCATCAAGGATTTCCCACTGTCCTCAGTTATCTGACCTTTCTAGGCTGTTTCTGACTATGAAAGACTCTCAGACATTTTCTTTGTTTTAGGTTTTTAAGATTTGGCAGTTTAAAAGGGTACTTAATGGTCAGCTATTTTGTAGAATCTCCTTTCGTTAGGACTTGTTTGATGTTTTCTTTCATGTTTACAATGAGGTAATGGGCTTTGAGAACACCATGAAAGTAAAGTACCATTTCATCACATCCTATCAAGGGAACATGATGTCCACATAATTTGTCACTGGTGATGTTACCTCAGTCCTCTGGGTGAGGTCACCTTAACAGGCAGTGTCCTCCAGCACAGCAGAGTTTCTCAGTCATTAATTTTTAATGAACACCTTTATATCCTGCTTAATTTCTAAAATAAACTAAGGTGCCCCTCTGTAAATCGTATGCAATATGTAAAGGGCAACAGGTAAGGCAAATGGGTGGAATGAGAAAACAGTGAAGGAGAAAGGAAGCAGAAGCAAAAGAATATTCCTGAGTACTACAGGGTAAAGCTGGGACTCAAAAACCCATGTTTTATATCCACACTTTGCTTTGGGTGATATTTATATACAGATCAGTAGATTTTTATATTGCTAATTATTTCAGTGGAGGGTACTTTAGCCAGAAGAGTAAAACATCCTCATTTTAACTTAACAGTTCAAAGCAACATGGCCTCAGGGCCCAAACTATGAGTCAGTATAGTTCTGTGTTTGAAGACAGGACTATTATTTTCCAGGATCCTCTTTACTTGCTTGGCCCAAATGAGTGTTCAATACATGTGCGGTCATTAGGTTATTGTATTTATTTCTATTGCAGTTACTCAAAAATGTGTATCGATTGACTATGTCAGGTGAATGAATAAATAAATTCAGTTTTTGGCATTTTTCAGATTCATGATATTCATCCAAGTAAGAATAGTGGCATATTAGCACTCCTTGTGGAGAAGACTGAGGAGATGAGACATACAGTATCACCTGGCACCTCTTCTGCCATCTAACAGAGGGTATGTAAGAAAAACAACACATTTCCGTACTCACAGGAAATTGATGCACATAATTTATTCTTAATCTCTGAGACTTAACCAAATATTAACACGTTGGTCTTTTAGTAGTGTCTTTGCAAGATGTTAGAGAGGGAAAGTATAAGAAGTAGTCCAAATATAGAGAGGAGGATCCGAGGAGGCTAATCTTGATGCTGAAACCCTGGAGAGTATGGTGTTTTTGTTTTTGAATTATTAAATTAGACCTTTAAGGATTGTAGGGGCTTAAGTGGTACAAAGCAATTTTCTCAGGGACATATTACCCTTGAACAAACAGACCTTGAGGTTTCAGCTCCAAGAGGTGAAAAGCTTAATGTCTGACTCTCCAGAGAAGTAGCAGTACCCTTAAGACCTTGCCCAGTAATCACCCATCCTTGGTTACATCAGCATCAGGCACAAGGGGCACAGATGCAAAAGGCTTCAGATGCTTATTGTAAGAATGACTCCCAAGGGCATGTACGCACACCATGGTCTATTTGTGCTAAATGTATGAAAAAGCTAGTGCCAAATATGCAGTTTGCTTAATGATGGAATAAAGACCACTTAAATTAATGGATATTTGAAACCCATCCTTCCAACACAATTACTGGAGCAAGGGATGTTAATCCTTCCCATTACTTGGCTTCCCCTCTCCACCTCCCAACAGGCTACTCCATTGACTCCTGATGACAACTCTCGGCTTTGTTTCTAGTGAACTCAATTCATCAGGTGGCTGTGTTTTAAGCTCTTAGCACCTCACGTATAACACTTCAATTAAAGGGAGAAAAGTAATTACTTAAAGTGACAAACAGAGGAATGCTAATTAAGTAAGGAGTTCATTCCAGGGCATTTAAACTAGAGTCCTGCAAAGTACAGGGGTCATGGTTTAATGTATTTTTTTGACTTGCTTTGTAAAACACAATTCTTCATTGTAATAATGCCCAAAGAGCCAAAGTGTGTTACATTAACAAAGAATTAATGACTCTTAGTTACTGAGGAGATCCCATTTATGTTTTTTTTTTTTTAAATTCACAATGTCTATAAGATTCATGACAGAGGGTAAAGATAACATAACTTGTATTTTATCCTTGTTAGTTATTTCAAGTTATAAATATACTGAGTATAACCTAATAATGTTCAATCTAGGAAGCTAAACCTTACCATATTAAAAATTTTCTTTAATATCCCTATCATCTACGGCTCAGAAATATATCCCTACCATCTACAGCTCAGAAATATAAATATATGCATATGCATACATATATATATATATATATACACATATATATTTTTACTGGAATTACATATTTGTTGTAACATATACCTAATTATCATGAAAGCATCTCTCAAATAATAAACATTTAAACTTTTTAAAGAAAGGGCTTCAACTTAGTTAAATAATATAAATAAGAACATAACCCACCAATGAACAAGTATTCAAGAATGAAAATAAATGTAGTCTACTGTTTGCCAATAGGAATCATAGCATATGCTTTACTTTTAGTTTGACACAATATTTTGACATAATCTCTAAGTATAAGCATTAAAATGCTTAGCACAGAACAACAGAGAATACAAGAAGGTGAATTAATTAAAAGTGTTAAGCCTAGCTTAATGACATATTTTTATGTTATAAGAAAGTTGAGACTCGGTTTTCATAAATATTTTGGTGCCTGGCATATGATAGGTGTTTGGCACATATCTGTTGACTGAATTAAAAATATTCTTTATGGATTTAGACAAAAGAGATGGAAAAGGCTTTGGTGTTACTAATGGAAATGAATTCCAGATACCTATGTGTGAGAACAGACTGCTCTACTGGAAATGATGGAAAGTTCAAGTGGTTATTTCTATTATTATATATTTTATATATATTATTACATATATTATTATATTTGCATATTACTATAATTGCAGCCGATTATTATTGATCAGTTTCAAGTAGATAGATCTTTTCAATGCTTCTTTCTGTCCTCATAAACCCAAACTTCTCTTCCACCAGCAACATGGGTCCAGCTGTATCATTCCAAATAAAATATTGAAGTATTAACACTTAGTGTTTCAAGATATAACTGTATTTGGAGGTAGTGTTTTAGATGAATAATTAAATTTAAACAAGAATGATAGGGCTTTTTCTAATATAATTTGACTAGTCTACTTAATTATTTATTTTTTTTAAAGTTTTTTTTTGTTTACATACCAATCCCTCTTATTTTCCTTCTCCTACCTTCCCACCTTCCATCCCACCCCCTATCCACTCCTCAGTGAGGGTAAGGACTCCCTTGGGGAGTCAATAAAGTCTGGCATAGTAAGTTGAGGCAAGAGTAATCCCCTCCCTCCCCATGTCAAGGCTGAGCAAGGTATCCCATCCTAGGGAATGTGTTCTAAAAAGCCATTTCATGTACCTGGGATAAGTCCTGGTCCCATTGCCAGGACCTTCCCAAACAGATCTAGTCAGATAACTGTCACCCATATTCAGAGGGTCTAGTTTGGCCCCATGAATGTTACCCAGCTGACAGGCCAGAGTCCATGAGCTCCCACCAGCTTAGCTCAGTTATCTTTGTGGTTTTCCCCATCATGATCTTGGTAGAGGGAACCATTAGGGGATTAGGGAGAAGCCTGGTGCTCAGGAAATCCCCAGGAATCCACAAGGATGATACCAGCTAAGACTCCTAGCAATAATGGAGAGGGTACCTGAACTTACCTTCCCCTATAATTAAATTAGTGACTACCCTAATTGTCATCATAGAACCCACTTCCAGTAACTGATGGAAGCAGATGCAGAGATTTTCAACCTAGCACTGGGCTGAAATCCCAGACTTCAGTTCAAGGAGGCAGGAGGGAATCACAGGAGCAAGTGATGTCAAGATCATGATGGGGAAAACCACAGAGACTAGTCTACTTATAAGAAGAGGAAATTAAGATACACAAAGAAACAATAGACCAGTTGATGATACACAGGGAAAGTGGGTGTCTAGTAGCCAGGCAAAAGAATCTTGGGAGGAATTAATTCTGTGAATACCTTGGGCTTGCCTTTCCAAACTTCAGAACTAAAAAAATAAACCTAAAATAAAGCCCTGAAATTAAGTCACCTACTCTGTAGTATTTTGCTTTGGTAAACCTAGCAAACTAACATGATCAGGGCCCTACCCTTATTTCTTACTCCCTCTCTCTACATTTACTTACTTTTAAAATTTTGATCTTTGCCTCCTGTTTAAAAATGTGTGTGTGTGTGTGTGTGTGTGTGTGTGTGTGCTTGCGTGCATGCGTGTGTGTTCAAAACAACATCCTCTACATAACTTTATATCTTTCTGAAGCTGCCATCCTCTTGTCTTCTTTAACAAAATGTTTTATACAACAGGGTCCATTATTCAAATCCAAATCCTTCTGCAGCATCAATAATCCTGATTATGACTAGAAACATCAGAAGGTGTACATTTTTATTTCTATGATAATAATTTCAACCACAAATTATTTAGGGACTCTAAAAATGTAAAATTTAGTAGGCAGCCTTTCTTTCTATGGAGATTGTGACTCTCTTAACGATTCTTTCTCCCTTAGCTTCTGTGATTCTCTCTCTACCAGTTCACTTATCTTCTATCATTCCTTGGTGATCTCATTCTGATTCTCTTTGTGTGTTGGAGGTTGTGTTGATATTACATTATTATTCAGGATTTCATTGTGAACTCTCTTCTTTCCAGGACATTCTTTGCAGCTCTGGGTGATCTTGTCCATTCCTATAATCTTAGAGTTATTTACATTTCCATAAAGAATAACCTGCCTCTCTAGAATATTTTCTAGTGACAGATCTTTGTTCCTGTCTTCTTCCTATGAAGATATTTCAATATCTACCAGGCCAGCTTCTCTGCCCACTTTCTCTGTTTCCCTAAAATCTTTTGTTCTAAAAAAATCATTCTGCTCTATACATCTGATGTATTTCCTTTTACTTAGAAACTTTATATAACCTTTTCCCAAAGATGAGTGACCAAAGTAACAATTATAGCATCTTTCTACTTAAAAAGAGAAACACAAAAGAATAGTTCCTTTTGTTTAGGAATAAAATGTAGTCACACCATGCCACCTTGATCATTACCACAGTCTATGTAGCCCTAGTTGGTCTCAACCTAATCATCCTCCTGCCTTAGCATCCCGTGTATAGAACACTGGCATTAGAGGCATGTGCACTACACTTGACTACAGAATTCTTGCCAGAGTAGCTCTGACTTGACCATAACCAAGCAGTGACATTTCAATGAGATAAGCAAATATGGGCCTAACAGATAACCCTTCATCTGTGACGCACACACTGTTTCCTTTTGTGATGTTTGAAGTCCAGGGAAAAGATCAGAGTTTGAGGCCTTCATAATTAAGTGTGTGAATATAATTCTTTAACTTAATAATTCCAAAGGAAAAGACACACTATTTTATATTTTTATTCTTTATGATTTCAAGTTCTTATTCTCATAATTGCCAACCTTTTGGGCAAGGCTCTGGGATCAGATGAATGTGTTGTAGTTGATTTTCCAGATGCTAGGGAATGGAAGCTGTCTGTAGTTAGTTAAAAGAAGTCTCTCCCAGGAATTTGCAAAAAAATATGAGCTATACTGATGATAATGAGATAAGTTGAAAAGACTAAAAACACATACACACATAGAAGGACTCATGTCAACTCATAGTTTTCTAGAGTCAAAGAATTCTGGGAGTTATGGAAAACAGGTTACATGCCTATAAGAATCAGGGTTTTTGGTTTATTATTTATTTTTTATTTATTTATTTATTTATTTATTTATTTATTATTTATTTATTTATTTATTTTTACAGATTATACCTTACCACATTACTCACACTGGTTATCAAAATCAAAACAGAGAAAAAGAACATATTCCTGAAAGGTCTGAGATCACCCTCTTTGCATTCAACATGCTTAACAGCATTGTAGACGGCATGAACTTCGTGTCTTCTACTCTAATCCTTTTCTTTTAAGT